AAAAAAAAAAAAAAAAAAAATCTTTCTGACTTTGCTGCCAGTGGTGGCAGTGTGGCAGTGTTTTGCCTACCATGTGGGAGATCTGGGTTCAAGTCCCAGCTGAGGTGTCTTGGGGTGAGTGAGCTAACAAGAAGCAAATCTTTCTTTCTGTATGCATTTATTCATTTGCGTGTCTTTTTTTTTATTCATTTCCTTGTCTGTTTCTGTTCTTCCAGCAAGAAGATGATCTGAAGTGGGTAGAAGAAAATGTTCCTTCTTCAGTGACTGATGTGTGAGTATCTTACTGTAGCAAGTAAGCCTATACTTGGAACAGTGTCTGAAATACATTTTCAAATGCCGTATCTAGCAATTGCTGAACTCACTCTGGAGCCTCTGTATTTACTGGTATGTATGTCTAAGCTGTAGTGAGCACTGTTACTCTCAAGTACAGATTTGCATAGTTTTTCTCTCAAAACCTGCTGCTTATGAAAGCATTGCTATGCATCTCTGATTTATTCAGTCCATAAGGTGCAAATCTGTCCTGCCTTCTTGTCTGACAAAACCATACTCCTAATAGTATTCACCCTGGAGTGCTCATCCAGCTAGCTAGCAGTATGTGAAGTAGAAGGCATCTTCTAGGGTGCTCTGGCTGATCTTTGCAGAAACTGGATCTGGTCACATGGAAATAAAGGAGATAAACCATGAGTATATATAAACTGGCCACTAGCTTCTGGTGGTTGTGCATTAATAGGGAGTGAATATCTTAGGGTCAGAACCTACCAGCACAGAAATTGCTGGATGGCATTGGAGGACTGGCTAAATACAACCTCAGGTACATGTGCTTTAGCTGCCTCTTTAATGCAAAGTGGACAGGTAGGAGTGTAGTTCAAAGCATACAGTGTGCTTTATCCCATATCCCGAACTGGGCCCATAAACTTGCATGCATGAGCATGTTGATAAGAGCTTTGTGAAGATGAGAAGGGGGTACTGAGATGTGTGTATGACTACACTAAGCAAGCCAACCGTGCAGACATACCCAAAGAGTAAACTTGAAGTTTTATGCATAATACTCAAGTCACTATTTAACAGGCTGTATACTCTGTTAAAAACTGCAGCTCCCCAGTAGTATTTTGTTCCTCCTCTTTCCTTTGGTGAAGAAATCCTTAAATTTGTCCATTCAACTATAGACTGGGAACGTCTTAAATATTCACTGTAGCTGGTAAAGGTCAATGTATAATAATCTGACTGGGGGAAAGTCCCTTTTTCTGGAGGTGACCGCAGGTGCCAGTCCTGTTTTTCAACAGTACCAGAAATGAGTACTTTTAAGATAATCAGGTCTCTGTTCTGAGGCAGTATGTTGGTGACATGTTTAGCCTTAAAGGTTTACTTTTATTTTGCTTTTGAAGTTTTTACATGTAGGTAAATTCCTAGCCCTTACTCCTCACAGGAATAGGACAGTTGATAGGTTTTATCTGACAGATGAACAAGTTGTTGTAACACATTGAATATAAGCACTAATATTTTTATGATAGAAACTTTGTTTCTATTGTGAACTCCTCATACCATATATCACTACTAAGAATAATGGGATGAAGTCATTTTTCATCATCTTTGTTCTCAATCCTATAATATCTAATGAATTGTTGGCAGTTTAGTGAAGTTAAAATAAACCTGCTTCTGCTTCTCTTTTGTATGATGCATTACGAGTATACACAAGTGTTTTGCTAGATATGAATTGGTGAATAACTTTTTAAGCTTTGTAACTGTCAGAATATCTGGGCCTTGTGTTCAGTAACTGTTTGTTGGCAATGTGGAAGCCGTACGTGAAGAAATGGTATGCATCCTGCTTATACGTTGTTTGTTACAATTTAAAACATGTCAGAGATGGAACATAAATTTATCTGCGCTAAAACAGCAATAGTCTACAATTTCTATTGGAGTACAAGTCCTGATAGTGAAGGAGGCTCAGAGCCTAGATTTAAATAGTAATCTACTTTGCACAAATTGAAGTCAGTGTATGCATGTCAAGAAACAAACAGAAGTTTCAGTATACTGCACTGAAGAGAAAAAAAAAAAGATACATTTTTCTCATTTTCATGGGGTTTGTGTTGATACTTCTTTTTAAAGGTAGTTCCCCCCGCCCCCCCCAAGCACACTGAGACTGTTTGTACTAAGGTATTCTGCTGGCAAAACTACTTTGGTCTGGGTAGAGAGAAATTAACTTGGAATTTGCTGGTATACAGCAGCCCCTCATGTTGAGATGGGCATGTTGACAGATCAGCACTGTACGAGTAACTTATTTGGCTGGTGCGGCATGGTTCTACTATATTAAGACAATGCCAAACTTTGCCAGTATATTTATGTCCATACTAAGAGCTTTTTGCCAGTGTAACATACCAATATTCCTATCCCAATAAATCCCTTTTGTATGTATGGATATAAATACTTTTCCTTTTACCTGGATGTCACCTTCCAGAAACTCTCGTGACTGGTTTATAGTGGTAATGGGTACTTGAGAGCTGGAGAATGAAATCAGAAATTAAAAACTGACTTGAATATTTGATGCTGCTTTGTGGGCCCTTCATGCTCTGTTCATTTCTCTCTGTGATAGTCTCCTAGTTCCCTAATTTCACCAAAAACTCTGTGCTCTTCTCCGTTCCATTCCTTCTTCCTTCCCCCCTCCCAAAAGGTAGGGACACTAAAAGTTAAATCCATCCTTCTTATTTGCAGCAATTAAGTGTCCCATATTTTTGTAATAATCTTTTTTTTTCCTTTTTACTGCAGTGCTCTTCCAGCTCTTCTGGATTCAGATGAGGTCAGTAAACATGCCTCTAGCACAAATTGAAGTCTTATGACATGCCAAAGGAGTCATGAGTTAACTACTAAGGAGGTCAACTTGGCCTGTTGGAAATGAGCTCTGTTCTTGTCAACGCAGCAAGAACAAATTGCATAAGAAACAAGACAAATTTGCTTTAAATAAGAGCAATGCAAATCTGTGCTCAGTCAAGAGAGTTTCAAGGGTGGTACTATCCAAGCAGCAGACTGTCACATGAGACCTTAATTGCTCTTCTTGCAGTAATGCTGTGTGGATTTATGTAAATTGGAAAATAAAACTGCATTTTCCCCATCTCCCTTTTGCATTTGAATTCTGGTGTTTGGATTTTGTAGAAATACAGCCAGATTTCCTGTTCTTTAAATGCCATTCCACAAATTAGGTTGTTTCTAAGGCCAGACATAGACGTTACACTTTTACCGGTATAAGTGACTGGAAACCAGTCTATACCCGTAACAGAACAGAAGTTCAGCACCCATGGACTGGCTTAAAAATGGTGGAACCTGGTCTTAGATTTGCACTCTCCCACCACATCTCCCAAAGGGCGAAGGTGTGTTCTTTTTGCTACCAACCTACACCACTTACAGGAAACTGTATAACTTAGATCAAGTCTGCTTCAGGCTTTTTGAAGGTCTGTATCTAGCTTAAAGTTGTTTCTTTGTTTTTTGTTAACATTTGCCACTTGTATTCTGCTTTTAGGAAAACTAAACGATTTATATATGAAATGTGTGCCTCTCTCAAATATAAAATCAGTCTCCACTATGGATAAATGTCACAGGAACAGCTATTCTGTTGATATAGTAGACAGCATGATTTATCACCACTTATATCTGGAATCTGTCCAGCAAAAACGATTCTAGTGTAACTTAGTGTATAATTACTCCTAACTTTCTGAACTGTAACTTTGCACTGGAAAGCAGTGACTTATACCAGTGTAGATCTGTTTGTTGTATATCTTCTCCATGTTTGCAATTTATTTATGCGTCTGCAACCTTAATGGGAGAAGATGGACTAGTAGAAAATTCAAAGTATTTGAGTAGCTTTTGTAGAAATTTTTGAGGTGTTTTTTTTTTTGTTATATAATCATAAGGGTTCCAAACTTTAAGGCTTAATTAAAGGTATCCTTTTAAGTCTTTTTGGGGAAGAACTAAGAACGCTGACTGTCTCCTGGTTAGAAACAACAGTGTCAGTGTTTGTGTGTGTTTCTCTGTAACCAGGATGAAGTCTTCTATATAACATTCAATTTCAGTTCAATTCAATTCAATTTATTAAGGATTCTGGTTGAAAGCCATGCTCCCGAAAACAACATAACAGACATACAACCATAATATAAATTTAAGTAAAAATAACAGGAATGGAAATATAATAATAAAATAGGGCCAACCATTATAAAAGCACTAGCAAATTGCCTGTGAAGAATGATGCCCATTCCCTCACGCTCCACCCCTTCCCCCCGCTCCCAAGGAGCGGGGGAGCCCACACCATTGCTGCCACCTGTCAGGGAGCAGGTCCATGGGGTGCTGGCTTTGCCCCCCCCCACTCTGTCTCTGCTCTCATGGCGGTGCTTCACCGCTTCCTCCTGTCCAGAATGCTCTTGGAGCACTCCCATTGGTTGTTTCAGACAACCAATCAGTGTGAATAAAGCGTTACGGACAGACAGACAAAGGCTTTTATAATATTAGAATTATTCTAACTCTCAGAATTAACATAATCAAGTACAAATATGGTGATAAATCAGATCATGCATCTATAAAAATGTGCATAGGTCCACAATTAACACAGTAAAAAACAAATATAATGATAATGTTTATTGGTCATATCGACAGTAAAGGATGATTAGCTTTGACCGCTCCAGCCTTGTAAGCAAAAATTGCAAGACAGTTTACTAAATATGGATCTGTTTGCTGGAGGAGAGCCATATTCCTTTTTTTCTCTGCTTGAAAAGTATGCCAGTTTCTGCAAGAACGGGGATTACATGACCTTTTTTTTTCTATATGACATTTAAAAAAGTACAGAATGTGGATTATGAAAGTGAGAATAGTCTGACCTAAACTCAGAGACCAGGAGTTGGCATGTTTACATAAAAGAGTAATTTTGGTAGATGTGCACTAGCATCTATTCACATCTTACCATGATTGGAGTGTTCTTTTTTTCAAAGTAGAATCACTGTTCTACAACGTGTGTTTGTATCTATAAACATGTGAAGTATGGGTTCTCACTATGGGGATGTGAATGCACAGGAAAAAAAAACAACCAAGCTTCAGTATAATCCTTTTTTGTTTTTGTCTTACAGGAAAGAATGATTACACACTTTGAAAGGTCCAAAATGGAGTGAGGAAGCACTTGCTTCTTACTGTCAGGAGAAGGGGAGCTTCCGTTTCCTTTAGGCTGCCCAGTGAATCGGGCATCCTGCTGATCTGTTTCTTGATCTTAACCTTTGGAGTTAGTTGATGTACTGCAGTGAGGGTGTCTTGCACAGCTTGCTGTGGAAGAGGTGCACAAGGACATTGTTAAACCTTTGGAAACTTTGAAATTAAAATGTTGATGCAAGTTTGGATTTTTAAGCAATTTAAATGTGTATTATTCCAGCACCTTCTGTAACTTTTCAGATATTTAATCTGTCACTCAAATTCGTAACACCTGCCTGAGGGACTGTGAATTCAATGTTGCAATTAACTTTCACAGGTCAACTGCCCGTGCCTATTTGGGGGGGGGAGGGTAAAACACAAATAAGATTTATTGAAGAAACAGTCTTCCTGTTTTCTGGGAAGTGAATGGCTGATTGCTGGAGACCACATACTGGCTGGCTTGCAGGGAGAAGAAGCTTTAGAGAAAGAAGCTCCTGTTGCTGAAGGAAGTCCAGTAAGATACCAAAAACAGAATATTTGGAAAAGTTACAGTGATATTGATGATGGAGTTAAAAAACAAACAACAAAACAAGTGCAATTTTATTCACAACACTGTGTAGGAAAGATTTTCTATTTTAAATGTCATTTACCTAGAAGCAACAGTTGCATAACTTTAGCATTTGTGGTGGCACATCTCATTGCCGGCAATGTGGTGAATGCCTGAAAAATTGATTACCCTTCCCTTCAGAGTGTTGCGTAGCCTAATAAAAACTTCCTGCAGCACTTTACAAATGTGTGTCTGACTGTTAAAGTTAAGCAGAACTTAAACAGATGTTTCTGACAGACTGTTCTCCTTGTGCAAGTGACCTATCTTTTTTTTAAAAGATCTGTACTCATCTGTGAGAAGAAGATGGCACCACCTTCCAGAGGCTGCAGGTTTTGCTTATCTATCCTGGCAGACACTGTGCTGACTTTGATATGAATACCTGGTGCTGAGATTTTGCTCCTAGTGTCTGTCTAAAATTTTAAAATCATATGTTCATGTAAGTGGTTTGATTGATGGGCTTTTCTGTGCAGTCAGTCCCTGGGCCAACAGGTACTCTTTGTTTAATCAATGTATTTGTCTAAATTGCAGATTACTGTTCTGTACAAAAGGTTCTTGCCTTTCTTCCCTGCCTCACCTAAAGTGGAAAATACCTGAACTGTCTTTTTGTTTTTATTTTATAGTCTGGCCATGAAACTTCCACTTGGTGATAATGTCTGTGTGTCACTGAGATGGTAAAGACTGATGGCTAATTATAGTTTGTAATTAGACAGGAGGAAACACAGCTTGGCCCATAGATGCATGGGGTGTATTGCAGTCCTGTACGGGACAGGAACTAAGGCACAGCTCATGAGGTGAGGGTAGCTCTGAGCTAGCTCTGAATGAGCCCATGTGTGTACACTATACTCTGCCAACATGATGTTCTGTGACTTTTCAAGGCTAATTAGCCTTGTTGAGAATCGAGATAAATCATGACTAGCTAGGGTATTCCTGCATGACAGTTTTATCCTGTGTAAACTTACTTATTAGCGCCTTTTGTTCAAAGGCACCAGTTATATAATCACTGGCTAGTTAAGCAATTGGTCCTTGGTTAATTTACCCCATGGCCAGGTTTCTTAAAAGATTATTAGGGGCCTGTTTGGACAACGGAGGTGGACTTTATTAGTACGAATTAGGGGTGCACCGATAGAGGTTTTGGGGGGCCGATACCGATATTTAAGAAGGCATATCAGCTGATATTGATCCGATACAGCCTCCAAGCGGTAAGTCCAGTGGGGTGGAAGCGGTGGGAGACAGATGAATGCCCAACAGGGGCGGGGGCGGTGTGGGATGGAGTCGTGGCGGGGGGGGACGGTTCCCACCACTGCTTGCACCCCGGG